CTCCATGCTCTGGACACCCCGAACATTTAAGAACAATGCCCCCAAACACACTACCCTCTACCAGACACCTACTGAAAATTTGGAACACTTGTAGGGACAAACTATGCTCAGCACACCCATGGTCCCTGGCTGTCCCGAATAAAATCTTAAACAATTGCAACGGTACATTCCCATACCAGAAATGGGAACAAGTGGGAATATCACATTTGTACCACCTCTACACAATTGAGGGACTGAAGACCTTCCCAGACCTTCAAAAGGAATTTTCACTCCCCTCGAACTTTACATTCGCCTAACTCCAAAGCAAGGCGATTATGACCAACAATAAGATACAAGCACGGAAACAGACACTACGAGCCTCCCTCACAAAGTTTGAACTACAGTGCATATCGACACTCCCCCAAAGAAAACATTATACATTTGTTACTATAACCTCGCCAACCCCGGCAAAGAAACTATTTGGAAATTCATGTCAGACTGGCAAGCCGACCTCCAAGAAGCTATCCCCCCAAGAGAATGGGAGAAGATTTTCACAGCACATGAGGGATTATCAACTTGTGCCACACACTTTGAAATATCGCGGAAGATACTTTACAGGTGGTATATGGTGCCCTCCTGCCTACACTCCATATACCACGCATTGACCGACACGTGTTGGCGATGCCACTCACACAGGGGTACCATGTTACATATCTGGTGGTCATGCGACAAAGTGAACACCCTATGGAAGGAAACCATAACACTGGTCCGCAAGGTCATGGTCTACACGCTGAAGACAATCCTACTCAAAGTCCTGCCAGAGAACATCCCCAAGCTCACTCGGAAAATGATATTCCTCCTACTGAGTACAGTGTCAATGTTGATAGCCAGAAATTGGAAGACATCCAACCTGCCATTCCCACATGAAATTACAACCCTAATGTCCTCAACAGTGGAATACGAACTTATTATTTGGAACCAAACGGGAACCAAATAGGGAAATTAAGCCCCACCATTGCCACTATGTGGCGGACCTACCTACAATCTACCAATAACATACCCACCTGGGCCCATTAAAGCCTGACCAGAAATAGGGCTTACATCGTAGCCACCCACACAACACAGTCACTCTATGAGGTCAATATCCAGAGTCCCCAATGCACAAACCCGACAAGTAAGCCACTTCAGGGAAGCCCACCACAGCAACAGACACATTTTTAAGTTTCCCTGACGTATCACTGCCCCGGTGTAGGTGCCCACTATGCCTTCCTACTAACCACACCCAGTTATTACCCCCATATACCCGAAAACTAACAGTAATCTCCTTTAGAGAGCACGACCCACCACTCTGAGAACTGAATATGTCTGAGGACAAAGAGTTATCTGATGGTTCACAAGTCAGAAGGGAATACGTAGGGTTAGATCCCGTCGACAAAGTCCTTACAGACACACATACCACACCGAACAACTGAAACGAGTAACCAATACAGACCAAGATCCCTTGAGAAGCATCGGGGCATTCACGGTAGTATTACCCTTCAACCACAGATAAACCCAAACGGAATGAACCGAATAGACCGAGACACCCGTTGACGAGAGGGCTGCTCAAGACAACTGTAACCTAGACGTCTCTTGAAAACAGTAAAGTACAAATTGGAAGAAAAAAAAATGTACTCACTAATTAGTCCTGTTTGTTAAAATGCCTAATATGTCTAGTATTTAAAAAAAAAAAAAAAAATAAGTTATAAAGTAAATACTGCAAGGAGTGAATTATGGCTTTAAAGCTAAAGCTTTGCAACCTTTGGCATGCTTAAATTACAACTTTAATAGTAGTCACAGAATCCAAAATTGCTACACAAAAGTATATATTTGTAGAAAGTACACCCCAGACAATAAGTATTTGAACCCTTTTCGTTTAACCATTTTATCACAAAACTAGGTCAAATTTTTGTGTTTTTTTCCACATATGTTGTAGTTTGGGAAAATTCACAGAATACACTTGTCACACTACTCCAAACACCTCACATTTCTATTCTGCAACTGTACTCAAGTAAAATGATACCACGCATGAATACCTTTTCCCCTAATACTACCCCTAAATGTGTTCTTAATCCAACCCCTAATCCAGCCCTTAATCCAACCCTTAGTCCAACCTATAATCCTACTCGTAATTCAACCCATAATCTACCCCTAAATGTATCACTTGTATGGATAAAGGCTTAACAGAGAAACCAATCAGACAGGCCATATTACAGAATTCAATAAGCCATTCCCCAGAGATACAAGTCTGTGCCCTCTTCATCACCAAAGCAGCAAGTGAGAAACTAGCAAAACTATAAAGGACAGTCCTACTTCTCTGCGGGGTCCCCTATGGGCCCTCGGAGATCAGTCCGACCAGCTCTGTCTCCCAAAAGGGCTTACAGGCAGGCAGTCATCTGCACCTCAACGTCCCAGTCAAACTTAACCAGAGACTCCAAATTACTTTCTTCTTGCCAGCCACTCATCTGAATTGGGCATCACACACTACCAAGATCT